TGATGACATAACCAGGTCTTGAGGGACTTCCTAAACAACAGCAGGGAAGGGGTGAGCCTCAGGGGGGAGAATGTTCCACAAGGAGGGAACCACAGCAGAGAAGGCCCACTTCCTGGGACCCACCAAATGCAAGTCTCTGGCTGATGGAACGCATAGCATATCTTCCCTGCCAGATCTAATGGGACGGGCTGATGCAATCAGGGAGAGATGGTCCCTCAGATAACCCGGCCCCATGCCATGAAGGGCTTTAAAGGTCAAAACCAGCACCTTGAATTGGACCCAGAAGCAAACTGGCAGCCAATGCAGCTTGTGAAGCAGAGGTGTAATATGTGTTCTTCTAGGAGCACACATAACTGCCCGCGCTGCCACATCCTGCACCAGTTGAAGGTTCTGGATACACTTCAAGGGCAGCCCCATATAGAGTGCATTACAGTAGTCCAATCTGGAGGTGAGTAGGGCATGAGTGACTGTGAGCAGAGCCTCCTGATCCAGGAAGGGGCACAATTGGCGCACAACACAAAGCTGTCCAAAGGACATCCTAGCTACGACTGCCACTTGCTCTTTGAGCAGGAGTCACCAGTTTAGGAGAACCCCCAGATTGCACACCAGGTCTGTCCAGGGCAGTGCCACCCCATCCAGCACCAAAGATTGCATAGTCCCAGAACCGGCAGGACTCCAGACCCCAAGCCACTCAGTCTTGCCAGAGTTCAGCTGAAGTCTGTTGTTCCCCGTAAGTTTCATGTCATTTCCCCAACCCACTACAAGGCAAAACCAGGAATTGCCATAGATTGGCTTAGAGCCTTAAGGTTATTAGTTCCACTTTTCCAATTTATGATCTATCAGGTTCTTAACTGATATCGATCAGCTCTGAATTTTGCTTCAGTGTGAGTTTTTACCTTGGAGATTTTCCACATATGACTGCAGTTCCTTTTCATTCATGACGCAAATGTGGGCAGCACCAGCAAAGGCAGATATGGGGGAAGATTTGGTACGGGGCACTCTTGCTTTCCCGGAATGGTGTTCACCCTGCTTGGCTGGCTTAGTCTCAGGCTGCCAAGCTCTCTTGCCAGTAAAGTTCAGGAACTTTTCCCGATAATAGCTAGAAAACAAGCCAAAGAAAAATTAAGGTGAGCATTGAATGTAACTGAATAAGACAGCAAAGATAGTTAAGCCATATGCTTTCGTCATTGTTGGCTTTAAACATAACTCCATTACGTTTAAGGCTGTTCTGACTGGGCCACCCACTTCCAAAACAATTTTTAATTCCCATCAAAATCACTCAGGGTTGTCCTTGTCTCTTTTAACCTTAACTGTTCCTCACTCTCTTTCATGATATTCTGTGCAACTACCCTTTTCTCTCTATGCACATTGTACAATATTTTTCTCTCATCCTCATCTTTTGCAGCATTTTTTTTAATCCACAGTCTCTTCATATAGCAAGCATCCTTTTTTATATTTCCTATCAGCATAACTGCATGTATTCTATAACATCATCACAGATAGTTTATTTGATTCATTGCTATCACACGTAACTTTCTTTACTTGTAAGTCTTGTAAGTCCTTTACTTGTAAGGACAAGATTTGCCTTGTCCTTTCTTGCTAAGAAGTGGACTTAGCTTATTCATTTCATGCTTGGGAAGTTCCCTTTAGTAGCGATGTTTTGTGCTGCTGCAACAGAAATAAAGCAAAAGCTGGTACAGGAGTAACTTTACAATTTAATTGTGTTGCAGTTTTATGCATTAAAGTTATATTGTTAAAATACTATTGTTTTGGTTTTAGGACCTATTTTGTAATGGTTCTAGGTTCATTGTGCTCTAGTCTTATGGATCATTGGGCTGGGGTGTATGGAAAGTGTTGGAAGGTGTGATTGGTTTGTGATGGGCCCATTAGATTTGGGGGAGGAGAGGCAGGTAGTGGGGGTGGGATGGCAGGGGAGAGTAGGGAGAGGGCGGCATTGAGGTAGTGACAGGCATGGGGAGATATGGCAGGAGGCAGGGGCAGGCTGCAGGTGTGGAAGGCGGTCCTGGTGGTTAACACCAGTGTCTCTTTCTGGGCCCCTGTGCTCAGCCCCAAAACCTGGTCTCTGGACCCTTGGAGGCCCTGGACTGGCTGCTACTGCTCAATGCCAGGTTGGCCTGTAATCAAGCTCACCTCATCCAATCTGATTGTGGATGACAGGGTTCACCTGGTATGTATTACCAAGCCTTGGTTGGGCACAGAGAGGGTTTTTTTTCCCTGTCTCAGAAATCTGTCCTCCTGGGTTTTGAGTGTGGGATCAGCCATGATTTTGGGGCAGGGATGGTAGTGTGCCTGTTGTTATTTGGGAGTCTCTAGTTGCCTTTAGAGGCACTGCCCCGGACATAGCTGGATGCGAAGCTGTTTGTGAAGCTGGGTCATAGGGATCAGTTGGGCTTGCTGCTTGCCTACCTTCCTCCCTGCAGGGTGACAGCAGCCTTGCTTGAGCTCCTGGACTCTGTAGCAGAGATGGTGGTGGTGTTCCCCAGATTGATAGTGCTGGGGAACTTTAACCTGCTTTCTCTGGGCCCAGAGTGAGAGGTGCCCCATGAGTTCATGGCCATCATGGCAGCCATGGATCTGGCCCAGATTATTGATGGCCCGACTCACAGAGGGGGGTCACACATTGGATCTGGTGCTTGTCTCAGGGTATGACAAAGTGCTCAGGTCTCTCCTGGGTAAAGGGGGGCCAGGTGAACCCTTGCAGGGTCGCTGTGAGGATTATTCTAGGCATCTGTCAGATAAAGTCGCTTGACTTCATTTGGAGTTGGACTCTGGCTGGGCAGATCCAGTGGAAGTGACTGAGGCACATTCTAGCTTGGTTAGCTGAGAGGAGTTTGAGCCAATCAATCCTGAGGAAGTGGACAGGGTCCTTACAGCTGTGAGCTTGGCACCTGTAGTCTGGACCTGTGCCCCTCCTGGTTGGTTAAGGCCTCCCAGGAGATGGCATGTGGTTGGGTCCAAGTGGTGGTAAATGACTCTTTGCGGGAGGGGATGGTTCTGCTAGCCTTGAAAGATGTGGTGGTTCACCTCCTCAAGAGGCCATCTTTGGATCCTACAGTCTTGGATAACTTCTGTTTAGTCTCTAATCTTCCCTTTTTAAGTGAGGTTGTTTAGAGACTGGTGTGCTTCCAGCTGTGGAGAGCCCTGGATGAAGTAGATTATCTGGATCCTTTCCAGACAGGATTCAGGCCATGCTATAGTACTGAGACTCCATTGGTTGACTTGTGGATGACTTTTGGAGGGCTTGGGATGGGGGCGGTGTGTCCATCCTGGCCCTTCTGGATCTCTCAGTGGCTTTCAATACCATCGACCATGAAATCTTGCTGGACCAGCTCTGGGGTTTTGCAGTGGTGTTCCTCCTTTCTCCGTGGCTGGTACCAGCCAGTGCTGGTGGGAAAGAAGAGGTCCAGCTCTAGGCCCCTGTTATGTGCAATGCCTTGGGGGTTGAGTCTCTTCCCCCTCCTATTTAACATCTATATGAAGCTGCTGGGAGAGGTCATCTGGCATCATGGGGTTCGGTATCATCAGTATGATACCTTTTCATTCGTAATTAAACCTGGACCTTTACTTCCCTGTATATATTCATCAACTGTACTCTGCAAAATCAGACTATTTTTATTGAGATGTATAAATGATATATCTCTTTCTCTTACAGATACATGTTTATTTTTCTTTCTTTTATTTTGTTAGTTAATTCTTGGTGTTTTCCATTTACTGCTGTTACATTCCAAGTTGCATTCTTCCATATACCATCGTTGTCCCCAGATGGGACATAAAGATTTATCTCTGTCACTCATCAAACTTTGGTCAACTAAGGGTTTCACATAATACACTGTACTAAGTAAAAAAAGGAAGAACCATATGGAAAATGCAAGTGACATTTCAGTGAATTACAGTGTTGCATGAATGAAATAGGAGGTTCATACTAAATGCCTGATGGAGAAATACGCATTATTTTTTTTTCAACTAGTAATTTTACATTTAATAAATAGATTTACTTTGATAACCAATCCCCCAGAAGTACAAAATGAACCCTCCTAACATTCTTTTTCTTTTTTACAGTTATTCATCAAATCTTTTCTAATAAAAAGTATGCTAGGTAATGTACATTAGCTTTGATTGTAAAAGCAGATTCCCATTGAAATAGTCTTGCATGATCAAGCAGATTTTCAAATTGCTGTATGAATGAAATGTGAGCCAGATTCAAAACATTTTTCCTTTTATTGTCATTTGAGAGAACCCAAAATCTAAATTGTTGATAGTAAAAATGTTAATGGCTAAAGGATTATTCAATGCCCTTAAAACTCAACAAATTTCTTTTTGAACCCTTTTGTAAGAAGAATGTGACTCTTGGGGTTCATACAAACATGCAAGGCAACATGGTTAAGCACAGTGTACGAACCCAGTCTATGTTTTTGTATACAGTATATTTAGGATCTCCTCTTTCTCACCTGACAATATTCAGAGTAGCTTTTCTTGGCAGTCTAGATGTTTCCACCAGCTTTGACAAGAGCTCAAAGAACAAGATTCCTCTGGCATCAACAGTCTCCATGTCATCTTTCTTAGGGGCTGAAGGAAAAAGGGGGATTCATGTCAAGAAATTGCCAGAGTGAGAAAAGGGAGGGCTAACAATGATGCAGAAGAGCTGGTGGTGTAAGACCATCCTGATCTGGGAACACAAATCTATCCCTTTTCTTCAGAGAAGCATGGAGACTACTGACTCCTGTCAATTCTCAAAGTTTTTGGAGTCTCTTTAAAAGCTAAAGGGAAACTTTTTGTCCATTCATCCCTGGATAATTATTGGGTATAAAACTCAACCTATGAAGCAGTTTCCATTCAGTTAGTCCTTGTAACAGATGTCGGAGAGCAAGTTTACCTAATCTGAAGTTCAGTTTTGGACCTTATCTAAAATGAAATAGAAACCACGCATACTACATCACTGATGTTTTCTGCTATCAGTTTCAATAGGGAGTTGCTTCCACTTTGCAACTTGTTATTGCCTCACCTCCAATCTTTCTGCCCTCCCCTTTGCTCACTGCAATTCAGGAAGAGGACTATGCATTCCAGGTGATGGCAACTGTCAGGTCAAAGGCAGTGTCTTGTCTGCAGGGTGGGAAAGAATGCAGAGGACGGAGACACCTTATAGCCACCTATGTTGGGTGAGAAATGAAATGCCAGATTTGGATTGGCCAGAAGGTAGCACAGGAAAGTGATAGAGTAAGAGGGCTTCCCTGTTGTGCAGTTGTCATATTTGGCTGCTAATCTGCTTGCAAAGCTTAGTCCTTAGTTATGTCTTGATTCCTTGGGAAAGCAGCTACTTGACTCTTGAAAGGGCCTGACAGTAATGAGATATGGATTTCACCGTGCCTATAAGGTGGAGAGCTGGAAGATCAGATATTCTGATGCTCCACAGGGCCAAGCTAGACATTATATTAAATGCAAATATTTCTAACCCCCATCCATCTGTTATTTTAATTAAAAATGTGTATGGTGCTTTTGGTTGCTTAGTTAACGTCCCTATTTAATTATCTTCTGTCCTAATGCAAAGTTTGGTTCTTTAGTTATACCAGTAATCAGGGGAAAGCTCTGCATATTTTCCAACAGTTTGTCTTGGATAAAAAGGTGGACTTTTTTTTTTGTAAAGGAAATATTCATTTGGTAGTCAAACAGGGAAAGTAATGTTATTTTTCAATTACACTATTCATTTGTTTTAAGATGTATTACATTTCTTAAAAATGCTACACCAAATATTTTCTGCCCCTTTACATTTTCATCAAGACAGACAAATATGTCAATTCTGGCATCTCTTTTTTATAAAGCGCTATTTTAAATTTAGATATTCCAATTTATGATAGGTGGTGCTATTCCTGATTATGTGAATATGTATAGTTACTACTGAGTTTTTAAATGTGTATTTTTAAAAATCAGAATTATATATCAAATTACATTGAAGCCTAGCTCATTCCATGTATATTTTAAAGTGATATTCTCTTTGACAGATTCATCATATCTCATTAATAATATGATCAATGAATAAATTAACTGTGGATTGAGCACCATTACTGAACCATATCAGAACCACTACAGTTTAGTTCCTATAATAATTGCTAATCAGAGAAAAAGAGAGAGGAAGTGATTTAAGATAAGACCCAGCCTAGAATCCTCAAATAGTCTTGGATCAAAACAATGCTCCCCCCTCCACATCTTAAAGCCTGTCTTACCTTTGCTTAGCAACGTGTTATCCCATTGTATTAAATATTACAGGCCATTTCTCATGGGAAGCCCAAGATGCAGAATCTGTATGGGGAATAGGGATCAGTCCTACTAACAAGAAGGTTCTCTTTCTTCTCACCTACAGCCTGGATGAAGCGCCTGGTGTCTGTGATCATGGTGAGGAAATCGGTGAAATTCACTTTTCCATCTCCTGAAAAACAGTCCCCACAAAAGAAAAAAATCAACAACAATCAGTTGATAAGCTAGACTGAAAGGAGCTACTTCCAATGATGCCTCACTCTTACTTCTGGTGGTAACTAGACAGTCTTGCCTAAACTGTACACTCCAGTTCATTCATTAGCATGCTATCTCTTATTCCTGTGTATATCACTCTGATGGTTCTGACCCAGTGGTATGCTGGAGCTGGCTCGTACCAGCTCACAGGAGCTGATTGTTTCGTTTTCTGGAATTTTGCAATCCGGCTGAGAGCAGACCTTGTTACACACGCTGCTCCCAGGTTCGGCTTATGGTCACTCACTCACACACTCATAGCCTGTTGAGGCACGCGGATCTTATCAGC